GAAAATTCGCTATCGAACGATACTCAAATTTTGTCTATATTCTTCATAAAATTTTAACTATTTAGAAATGATCCCTAAAGAATATGCCATTATATAGAAAAATGTATGCTCTTTCGTTTGGCATGGTCAGATGTTCGAAAATCAGCTTAGAAATATCACTTTTTTTCAATTTATAATTGAAAAAACCGTGAAAATTCGCTATCGAACGATACTAAAATTTTGTCTATATTCTTCATAAAATTTTAACTATTTAGAAAAGATCTCTAAAGAATATGCCATTATATAGAAAAAAGTATGCTCTTTCGTTTGAAATGTTCAGATGTTCGAAAATCGGCTTAGAAATTTCACTTTTTTTCAATTTAAATTGAAAAAACCGTGAAAATTCGCTATCGAACGATACTAAAATTTTGTCTATATTCTAAATAAAATTTTAACTATTTAGAAAAGATCTCTAAAGAATATGCCATTATATAGAAAAAAGTATGCTCTTTCGTTTGGAATTGACCGATGTTCGAAATTCGGCTTAGAAGTATCACTTTTTTTCAATTTAGTATTGAAAAAACCGTGAAAATTCGCTAACGAACGATACTAAAATTTTGTCTATATTCCTCATAAAATTTTAACTATTTAGAAAAAATCTCTAAAGGATATGCCATTATATAGAAAAAAGTATGCTCTTTCGTTTAGAATTGACCGATGTTCGAAAATCGGCTTAGAAGTATCACTTTTTTTCAATTTAGTATTGAAAAAACCGTGAAAATTCGCTAACGAACGATACTAAAATTTTGTCTATATTCCTCATAAAATTTTAACTATTTAGAAAAAATCTCTAAAGAATATGCCATTATATAGAAAAAAGTATGCTCTTTCGTTCGAAATTGACCGATGTTCGAAAATCGGCTTAGAAGTATCACTTTTATTCAATTTAATATTGAAAAAACCGTGAAAATTCGCTATCGAACGATACTAAAATTTTGTCTATATTCTTCATAAAATTTTAACTATTTAGAAAAAATCTCTAAAGAATATGCCATTATATAGAAAAAAGTATGCTCTTTCGTTTGGAATTGACCAATGTTCGAAAATCGTCTTAGAAGTATCACTTTTTTTCAATTTAATATTGAAAAAACCGTGAAAATTAGCTATCGAACGATACTAAAATTTTGTCTATATTCTTCATAAACAAAAACCGTGAAAATTAGCTATCGAACGATACTAAAATTTTGTCTATATTCTTCATAAACTTTTT